GGTAGTCATAGTTACCAGTTGTAGCCACATCAGTCTGGGTAGTTAATTTGCTAAAAAAGTCTGTTTTTAGCATGTTTAGGTCAGATGGATCTGGGGGTAGGGGTGGGGAGTAGAAGTTTCAAGAGAATTGTAAATTACTTCCCTGGGTCAGGTTTGCAGTCTTGAAGCAGTCAGGCTGAGAAATCTGCTATCTGACAATGCTGGAAGCAAGCTCAAGGTGAAGCAGTTTTGTTTTTGTAGAATTTGACTATGTAGCTAGAATTCTCTCTGGAGACCAGGCTAGCCTCATGTTTGTGGCTACTATTTTGCTGAATGTCCATATAATAGATGTGTGCCACCAAGTCCCAATTAGTTATGCTTTTTGAGATAGTGTCAAAAGCCTGCCCTGATATGGATCTTGATTTGTATGTAGCTCAGGGTAGCCTTGAACTCCGCCCCTGGGTTCTAGAACAGGATCATGGTCATGCACTACAGTGGTGGTGATGGATATATGTTTGTCCTAATCCTATAGGATTAAGATGAATGTGAAAAATCAAATGCTCAATTAAAGTCTTACTCCATGTTTTATTAGCACTTGAGAATAACTGACAAGGATGTACAGTTGTCAAGCAGAAAACAAGGGGAGATATGTAACACTCAAACAAGGGATGAGGTGCCAGTGGAACGTGCCTTCAACCCAAAGTTCCATGCTAAAAGGAAATCCAGAACAAACTACAAATCTCTGGAAAGAATTTGCATAACTTTAACACACACAGTTTATCTCAAGGATCCAGACATGGTTACAGTGAATAATAGTGGACAGGGTTTTTTTCTTGGAGAGTGTATCATATGCAAAAACTAGAAACCAGTCTCCCTATATACTGTGTTAGAGACTAGGCCCAAGTATTTCATTTCTAAATACTGTTATTTATTTTAAGCTCCTTTAAGCCAACAAACCAACAAGGTAAAAATTGTTTGCTTCAGTTCTCATGTTTGAGGGCTGAGAATGTGGCTCAGTTAGTATCTTGCTTGCCTGGCATGCTTGAGGCCCTGGGTTCAACTCCCAACACCCTATAGACCCTGCTAGGTACTTCATCTGTAATTTTGGCACCCAGGGTAGGTTGAAGCAGGAGGGTCAGAAATTCAAGGTTATTTTGACTCATAGGGAGCTTGACGCTTTCTCTAAAAAGAAAATGGAAGAGGGACATCATGCATTTCCTGAATATTGAAATCTCTATTATTGTTTTGTAAAAATTCTCATACTTCATATTCTATTATAAATAAGGGAGGTATGTTTTCTTTTAAAATAATTCTGGATGTTCATATATCAACAAAAATTTTATATGCTAATATATGATACCCAGTATTATTTACAAAAGTTTTGTATAGACTAGCTTCTGTTGGGAGTTTGATGTTTCATCTCATAAACTGTGGGCAGTTTATAAAAACTCAGTGTAATTATCCAGCCCCCCCCATGCCACAGCAACTCCACAAGCATTTCAAGCTGCCATGCCAAAACTGAACTCAAAAATCCAAAGAGGATTAGGACAATATATATGTGTGATGCCATGCACTTGTGCTGTGTGATGCTGTGCACCACAGTTCCTTAGAATACACCCTGGATTTTATCTAAGATGAGAGCTCAATACTTGCCATACCTACTGTGGGAACACTGAGGTCCCATGCATCTGTCTACTTTGGCTCTGCTCCCTGTAGCTACCAGATTCACGTCCTAGGATATGCCAAAGACCCATTAATCCCATGATATCATGGATGCCAGTCTACTGTGAACCTGATTTCTCCCAAGTTCCAAATGTCCTTTTTCATACTAAAACAAAACAAAACAAAGCAAAACTCCTCTACTGAATGAACAGACATTTAGCTCAGGTATGGAAAAGATGTGTGAGCAGAAGAACTGACATGGGCCTATCTCTCAGTTCCACCCCAATTGAGGAAGGCTCCATTCCCATGGTCTCCCACAGCAAAGCAACCATGTGACCTGTTATCCTCAGCAAGTTCACTCTATTCTGATGCTTGCTTCCAATGAGTAGCTGTTGCTCACAGCCACCTTGCTACTGAACCTCGTCACCTAATGCTTTATTGTTAAGAACAGGAAAGAGTCAGAACAGTGGCTCTCGAACAACAGATTGCTCTGTCTACCTCCAGTTTCTGGTTCATAGAGAACACCAATTTATTTCTAGTTATGAATTTTGAGAACACTCATTTTAAACAAGTTCCCAGATGAGGTTGATGGCCCACAGAATTATGTTTGAGAATCATTAATAGAATATGTGTTATCAATAAAATCCATATAGTTGCCTTTTTTTGCTTTCAGCAGGATTAAGGAAACACTTTACCAAATATAATCCAGCACACATGTACTATCACTTAAGTCTTCTAATACTTGATGACGTAATTACTGCATAATAGTATAGGTGAAGACATTAAATTTCAGACATCAAACTTCTTGCTCATTGCTATACACTGAGGAGTTGGTGAGCAAATACGAGTTTGTCTATCTCTAAAGTCTATACTATTCATCTATTGGAACTGCGTTTGCTCACAGTTACAATTCCATTTGACTTTTCACATTCTATTTTCTAAGAAATGCTTTTGTTTCCTATTAGTCTTTTTGTTGTTATTAGCTGGCTCAACTCAAGAAACTGACTATATCCCCAACCAAAAACTGAGATGTATAGAGATACATCAAAAACTTCCCAAAGAAGACAGGTTGAATGAAATGGTCTTTAAAATGCCCCCAGTTCATGTGGGATGCTTATCATATAATCCAGCATATTTGGCATACAGTGACAACACTTAGAAACACAAAAACAAACTCCTTCCTTCGTTGCTATTCAAGCTCACAAAACAAAATACCTCATTTGATTTATTTGTGAAAAACACAAAGACCATTGAGTTGTCTTACTGTTTGATTTAAAAACAATGTTCAAACCCTTAAACAGCAAGCAAATGTTTCAAGCAGTATATTTGGAACTAGCAGTCAAGGAAGGCTGCTTAATTACATGATGAGCCCAGGACCTTCTCAAAAGACCATTGTTCTGACTTAATTAACATGAATTAAAACAGTCCGAAAACAACAGAGCACATTCCCATTAGGGTCAATTACTCAGACCTAGTCAAGGCAGCAAAGAATTCCCCAGAGGAAAATCCGTCACTG